AATCCTCCTAAAAGGAAAGGTAACATCTCACGAAGAGAAGGTAACATCTTACAAAGAGAAGACAACACTCCTGCAAAAATCTGGACTATTATAAGATACTGTGCATAATTGACTCCTCCTTCAGAATCAATAGGCCTCACAAACAAGAATTTTGCCCCAAGAAGAAAGCATAATATCCCTTGAAAGAAGGTAACAATCCACAAGGGAAAGGTAACATCTCATAAAAAGAAAGTAATATTTCGTGAAGAGAAGGTAGCATTCATGATGAGAAGGTAAGGTAACAATCCACAAGAGAAAGGTAACATCTCACGAAAAGAAGGTAACATCTTGCGAAAAGAGGGTAACAAGAAGATAACGTTCTGTAAAAGAAAGGTATAAAATTTGATTAGAATACCTTTGGGCTTTGTTTTGGACGCCATTATCAGAAATCGCGTTTAAATATAAAACGGCCGCACAAAAAATGCGCGGCAGATCCTCGATTTTGATTGGCTAACAGCCGAGGATCTTCAAAAATTTGGCCCGCATTACATAATTGTTTACTAATTTCCGACCGGAATTAATTTTAGGAGCAATTTTTACTTACCGTATAAGCGCGTAATAACGCGCAGGGGCGTTATTTTGAAAAATGGCCGAATTAGGCCAAATTTCGAAATTACACCCCTGCGCGTTATTACGCGTTTATACGGTAATGGGCTAATGTTTTGATCATTGCTCTTAGCCAATCAAAATTGAGGATCTACCGCGCATTTTTTGGCTTCTCATTTTCTGCGGCAACTGATCCCAGAAAAAAAAAATAGTCGAATTTGAAGTGCTTTGATGTAATTGTTAATATTCATCTTCTGGCTAAATTCACTATGAAAATCATGTAATGGTAAAGGTGAAACACGGGTTTCACTCTAATCTATTTTCTAGATTTTATGCGCAAATTATGCACTATTAAATATGCAAAATATGGTTTATGCACAGATTTTGCAATTGCAAATTTGCACTTGCCCTAGGTCATACTAATTGCGGATTTCCTAAGAATCAAAAATCTCGAAAACAAAATTTCCGATAATATTAAATTTTTTTTATAACGGTAGACATCAGTAAAAAAAAAAAACCACCCAGGTAGTAAATTTTTTTAAAAAAATCTTTGCAGAAATTGACCTGGAAACAATCGGACCTATATTAATATACGCTTTCCAAATTTTACGTATTTCAATTATGCAATGGGTATGCTTTGGCATATTTGACTAGTATCGGCACTAATAAATATGCATTATTCTCATTATTTCTGGAACAACTAGTCGATAAGTTAGCAATATATCGATAGTACCGAGTTTCAAAAAATATATCGAATTCTACCGAATAATCATCTGAAAGCTTTTATCTGTTCTAGAATTTATGAAAACGGGATTTTAGCATTGATTTGAGATTTCGGTATTACAGCTGTTTTCATTATTTTTGGGACATCTGAAATATATTTTGACGGCCGAATCGATAAGTTACCGAGTCGAAATCAGTACGGTAAGTTACTGATGTCGGCCGACATCAAAAACTTATCGAATTCAAATGTCCCAAAATAATAAACCAGTCGTAAAGCTGTTGAAATCGACAAGACCAACGTCGACCGAAATCAAAACTTATCGATTCGGTCATCGTCAAGAGTTCCAGGATTATGAAAACAGCTAATTTGGGATTTTGGCTTTGATTTGGAATTCTAGTATTACAGTAATACGATAATACAGTAATATTGGTGCTTCGATCCTATTTTTGCAGTTTCTATCAAATCCGAATTGAATCTGCATTAGATTATATATAAAGCTAGCCTTTGAAGACATCCTTAGGTTCGTTATTTAAGTTCTTTGATCAATCCGAGTAAAAATCTCTGATCTGATAATCAAATCTAATAAACTCTTTTTTATTAAAATAAAAAAAGTTTATCGAAATTTATTAGATAGGTGCTTAGACAAGATATCTTTGATCAAGGTTTAAAAAATTTTTAAAAAAGTAAAAACGATCTATATATTATCGAATAATTATCTTGAATCCTATAATTTCTACTTATATTACAATGAGAATATGCAGAATTTATAAGGCTCATTGTTGTGATTCTGTATATTATAATTGTTTTAACATTGGTAACCAGATTGTCGGATTTAGGATCAAAACACTAGGTAATATGGGATTTTGGTATTGGTTTGGGATTTCGATATTGGTTTGGGATTTTTAGTTTAGCCGTTAGGGGTTTAGGCAGAAATATCAATCCAAAATTAGCTTATACTATAACCTGTAATCTAAAAAGGTTCCAGTTATCGTTATGGTCAACGTTATTTTAATCATTCTAATCAAGTTTGTTAAAAATGAAAACAATTTAAAAGTTCTTGACAAGTATACGTGTAAATGCCGCATATACTGTATATATTTTACTGTATATAATATATATATGTATACAGTATATATATATTTATATTAGTTATACGAAATACGAACTAAAAATTACTAGACCAGTAAACTGGTATTAGTACGTACGTAACAAGCAACAGGTTTTTGCTCGCTAAACCAAAAAAGGATAGCTGCATTCATTGCATTCATTAAATTTTTATCTTAGATTGAGATGTTCAATTAATGCAACCTAAAATTTTTAGTTCGTTTAATATAGTTTAAATTTTTTATTAGCATTAGCTCGCTGAACAAAACCTCCGGTGAACCATGGAAAATTTAAATCATGTTTCAAATGACTTTAATGACATTACCGCTGCCGATAATAACTTAGGTCTTAGTAATAATTCTGAAGGTCCAGTTGTTACTCTCGTTCAAGATCTTGATCCAACTTATGGCATACCTGATCTTCAAGCCTACCTAAATGAACAATTAAGTAAACGAATAATGTTTCTTGATGGTGCTATGGGTACTGTTATTCAGCAGTTAAGTTTAACTGAACAAGACTTTCGAGGATCGCGATTTAAGGATCATCCTAAAGATCTTAAAGGAAATAATGATATACTAGTGTTGACTCAACCTGAAAAAATTAAACAAATTCACATTGATTACCTGGAAGCGGGAGCTGACTTTATTGAAACAAATACTTTTAGTAGTACTTGTATTAGTCAAGCTGATTATGCTTGTGAAAAATTTGCTTATGAATTAAATAAAGAATCTGCTAGGCTAGCCAAAGAAGCTTGTATGGAGGTGATGAATTTTTTAAACTTTATATAAAGTCTCAAAAAAGAAAAAAACATTTATTTATTTATCCTGATATCTCTTTTATTTTATTTAATTTCAATAAAGGTTACAGCAAGAGAACCAAATAAACCAAGATTTGTCTGTGGTGCATTAGGTCCAACAAATAGAACCTGTTCTATTTCTCCCTCCGTTGAAAACCCTGCCTATCGTAATGTTACATTCGATGAGCTTGTTGATGCTTATTCTGAACAAGTTAGAGGTCTTCTGGATGGCGGTGCCGACATGTTATTAGTAGAAACAATTTTTGACACATTAAATGCTAAAGTGTGTATGTTATTCTAATTATACTTATTAAATTTACATCAATTATATTTCTAAATTTTTTTATTATTTAATTTTAGGCTGCCCTTTTCGCAATTGACACGCTATTCGAAGAAGGTTCTTATAAAAAAACTCCAATATTTATTTCAGGTACTATTGTCGATCAATCTGGCCGTACTCTCAGTGGTCAAACTGGTGAGGCCTTTGTGGTCAGTGTTAGTCACTCTCATCCTTTAGCCATCGGGTTGAATTGCGCCTTAGGTGCTGAGCAAATGCGCCCTTTTATTCAAAATATTGCAAAATTTACAAGTTCATTTGTAATTTGTTATCCTAATGCGGTTGGTATAAAATAATATTTAAAACTTTATATAAATTATATACTAATTATTAATTTTTTTTGATATTAGGGTCTTCCAAACACGTTTGGTGAATATGATGAATCTCCTTCAATGATGGCTGCAAAAGTTAAAGAATTCGCTCGAGACGGTCTAGTCAACTTATTGGGTGGTTGCTGTGGTACCACACCTCCTCACATAAAAGCCATAGTAGATGCTTGTTCTCATTACAAACCTCGAGTTCCACCACCTGATGTTCGTTTGGAAAATATGTTAATATCTGGTTTGGAAGTCCTGAAAATTAACAAAGAATCAAACTTTGTTAATTTAGGTGAAAGATGTAATGTAGCCGGTTCGAGAAAATTTTGTCGTCATATCCTTAACGGTGAATATGAAGAAGCTATGACAATTGCAAGAGCTCAAGTTGAAAATGGTGCTCAAGTTATTGATGTTAATATGGATGAAGGAATGTTGGATGGGAAAGCTGCAATGACTAAATTTTTGAATTTAATTGCTAGTGATCCTGATATTTCTAGGGTAAATTATTATTTTTTTATTGTTTTATATTAAGCAATGATTCAATAAATTTTATTATTTTTAAATTTAGGTTCCTATTATGGTAGATTCTTCAAATTTTGAAGTTATATTGGCTGGATTAAAATGTGCACAAGGAAAGTGTATAGTTAATAGTATCAGTTTAAAAGAGGGTGAAGAAGATTTTATTAAAAAAGCAAAGATTATTCGAAGATTTGGTGCTGCTGTTGTTTGTATGGCCGTAAGTTTCTAATTCAAAAATTTATTATATCTATTATACTTTACGAGTTTTCTTTTTTTTTAAAAAAAATATATATTATGTATATTATTTCACATATAATAACAAATAATGGCAGTTTGATGAGGTAGGTCAGGCTGATCTAAAAGATCGTAAAGTGGAAATATGTACGAGAGTATATAAGATCTTGACAGAGGTTGTTGGATTTAACCCTAATGATATTATTTTTGGTATCTATAATAATCCTAATATTATTTTTATTACATTTATAAATTTCACTTTTACCATTTATCATATTTGAATTAATTTTATTGTTCCAAAATAGATCCAAATATTTTGACAATTTGTACGGGTATGGAAGAGCATAATAATTACGGTGTAGAATTTATTGAGGCTACTAGAGTAATTAAACAAACATTACCTGGTGCAAAGGTAATATAAATGAATAATATTTTATTAAAAAAAAATTAGGTATAAATTTCTTTTATATATATATATTTAACTATCATGTTTTTAGGTCAGTGGTGGTGTTTCGAACTTATCATTTTCCTTCCGTGGAATGGATAAAATTAGAGAAGCAATGCATAGCGTGTTTTTGTACCATGCAATTAAAGCTGGTAAGTTAATACTAGCCATGTATTATTTTTTAACTCAAATTTCCAGTTATTTCGTTTTTTTTTTCAATTGTTTCAATCTCTACATTCAGGTCTTGATATGGGAATCGTAAATGCTGGATTCTTGACAATTTATGATGATATCTCAAAAGACTTATTACAATTATGTGAAGATGCTATATGGAATCGAGATCCTGATGTTACTGAAAAGATTTTAGCATATGCACAAAAATTTGGAAAAGGTTCTAAAAAAGAGGATACTGAAGAAGAATGGAGGAAAAGTGATGTACAATCGAGAATTAGTTATGCTTTGGTTAAAGGTGTCGTAAAATATATAATTGAGGATACTGAGGAAGCAAGACAACTGGTTGGTTTAATAAACAAACTACTTGATTTTTTTAGCAAGTATTGTTGATCTTTATTCTAAATTTTAGTTACCAAGGCCATTGGATGTTATTGAAGGACCATTGATGTCTGGCATGAGCACTGTCGGTGATTTATTTGGTGCAGGTTCGTTAATTTTCGTGTAATACGATAGTTTAAACTATTTTACGTATCAGCAATAACTAACTTTTGTTATCTTAGGAAAAATGTTTTTGCCCCAAGTGATTAAGTCTGCACGGTAATTATTTTATTTAAACGTGAAAAATATTCATTGTTTATTTGAGTTTTAAAATTTTTGGTTTATCTTTGTCAAGTGTTATGAAAAAAGCCGTTGCACACTTAATTCCATTTATGGAAGCCGAACGTCAAGCTCAATTTATAGCAAGTGGAGAAGATACGATGGATATTGGTCTACAACATACTGGTGTTGTAGTTTTAGCTACAGTGAAAGGAGATGTTCATGATATTGGCAAAAATATAGTTGGTGTTGTGCTTGGTTGCAATAATTATAAAGTAAGTTTTTTTTTTTTTAAAAAAAAAAAAAAAATTAGTCAAAGGTTGCTTTAATATGATTTTTAATTTTTTGAAGGTTATAGATTTGGGTGTGATGACTCCATGTGAAAAAATTATTGAAACTGCTCTTAACGAGAAAGCTGATGTTATTGGTCTGTCAGGATTGATTACACCATCTCTAGATGAAATGATAAGTGTTGCTAAAGAAATGGAAAGGCGCGGCTTGAATGTAAATGTCTATCATAATTATCAAATTTGCATTTATAAACTTTTTAAGCGGTTTCGTTAACTTTCTTTTAATTATAAATTTTATAGCTTCCATTACTTATCGGTGGTGCAACAACATCCAAGGCTCACACTGCTGTAAAAATTTCACCCAAATATTCTCAACCAACGATTCACGTATTAGATGCTTCAAAGAGTGTTGTTGTGGTAATGATACTTTCGATATATATATTATATATATATATTTATATTTATATTTATATTTGAGATCAGTTCAATATGAGTTTCTAATATTAAATTTACTTCAGGTATCAAATCTTTTAGATGAAGAGAAGAAAGAGGAATTTTGGGAGGATATAGCAGAAGAGTATGAAGAAATTCGTGAAGATCATTATGCGTCATTAAAAGATCGCAAGCACTTGTCATTAAAAGCTGCTAGAGAAAAAAAATTTGAGATAGATTGGAAAAATCAAGCACCACCTGTTAAACCATCATTTATTGGGAAAAAAGTAATTGATGGTTATGATTTGAAGCGAATTTCTGAGTATATCGATTGGAATCCATTCTTTCAAGTTTGGTAAGAAATTAAGATTTTTGGATGAAATTTTGAATGAAATTTCGAATGAAATTTTGGATGAAATTTTGGGTGAAATTTCGGATGAAATTCTACCAGATTTTATAGATGAAAAATGAATTGACTTTAACGAATATTATTTGTGAATTAGGCAATTACGTGGAAGATATCCTAATCGTGGTTTTCCAAAGATTTTTAACGATGAGCATGTTGGCAAGTATTATTATTAGTATAGCATTAAGTCTGATCATTTATTTTAATTTGAATGCTTACATTTTGATTCGAACTTAGGTACGGAAGCAAAAAGGTTACACGAAGAAGCATTGGCTTTTGTTAAAAAAATCATTGATGAAAAGTTGTTTGTTGCTAAGGGAATTGTTGGGATTTATCCTGGTATGGTATCATACATAAATAACTACATGAATTTTATAATAAATTATTGACTTTTCTTTTTTAATTGTTTATTTAGCTAATAGTTTAGATGATGATATACAGGTATATCAATTTAAACAGTTAATTATTTTCTGTACCTTCTGTATCATAACAATTTTAATTTTTCATAGGTTTACGAAGATGAACTACGATCTAAAGTTTCTGCAACATTCTTTGGTTTGAGGTACATTTATACGTGCTACTATGAGTGCCAATTTTTTACAAGATATAATATATTCTTTATTTAAATAAATAGGCAACAATCCCAAAAAGAAACTGATGATCCATACTTTTGCCTTTCCGATTTTATTGCACCTAAAGATTCTAGCATACCGGATTATTTAGGCTTATTTGCTGTAGGAATATTTGGCGCAGAAGAATTATGCAAAAAATTCCAAGAAGATAATGATGATTATAATATAATAATGACTAAAGCAATCGCAGATAGATTTGCAGAAGGATTTGCGGAATGCTTACATGAGGATATACGAAAAACATTGTGGGGATTTAGTCCAAATGAAGATTTATCACTAGGAGATATGTTAAGTGTAAAATATCGGGGAATTCGACCTGCTCCTGCATATCCGTCACAACCTGATCATCGTGAAAAAACCACAATGTGGAAGTTGATGAACATTTATGAAGAAACGGGAATCGAGTTGACAGAAGGACTAGCTATGTTACCCGCCGCTAGCGTATCAGGTATATTAGCTATGATATAAATTAGGGTTCTGCAAGTGATGGAATGGGATTGCTGAAACATAGTGCTGTTGGTGCTCGGAACTTAATTAAGTATATTATATTCCTAACTTTTTATTTGTCATTACAGCTTTGGTATTTGCAAATCCTGAATCGCAGTATTTCGCCGTTGGAAAAATTGAAAAAGATCAGGTTAATAAATATTATAACATAATTATTGTCGGAATTCTGGATGCTGAAATTGACAGTAAAAAAAGTGCACGATGTGCATCGAGCACATTTTGTACATCTTAGATCTTGTACACTGATCCAGGTTTCTGCGCGTCTACGATAATTGTTAAATGGTAAAATTTAAATAACTTATTACTTTTGTAGGTTATAAGTTATACAGAACGTATTAATAAGGATTTAGAAGAAACTGAAAAATGGTTACGTCCAATTTTAAATTATGGTAAATTGTTCATTTTGCTACCTCTGCATAATACTATATTTTATATATTTTTTTCTAAATATTTTTTTTGTTTTTACTTATCTTTATTTAAAACTTAGATTAAAGAAACGAACATTCGTCGGTTATATTTAGCCCTGGGCGAAATTAAAATGATTTTTATTTATATTTAATTATTTTATATTTTATTGTGTTTGTTGAATTAAGTTTATTAAAAGTTGTCGATTGTTCTATTAAAAAAGGTTTATAGATTAAAGGCGGAAAATTAGCCTTTCTCAATTTATCGTAGGTAGATTTTAATTTATTATGAGTAGTAGATGTTATTAGAATTTCTTTTATGTATATCAAAAAATTATCACTTTATAGATGTCAAATAATCATGTGATGTTTATAGTTTATCTTTTAATATTATTCGTCCGTTGGGTAAATCATTGTATTTTTTTTTTTTTGCAACAAACGGACTACCGGAGTTTGGTTGTACAAATCCTATAAATTTGTCGAATATAAAAAGCCACCCTACCCATTTCAAATTCCAAAATCTTCGTTCCGTAATAAACTCAGACAAAGTGATAAAGTCTAACTGCCACCAAAAATATATAAATAGTTTGATACATATCCTATTCACTTGTAATCATGGCCGAAACGGCAACAAACCTCTCTGAAAATGCCACCACAGAACCCACACCTGTTGCAGGACAAAAAATCAATTCATTTAAAGTGGGGTGGCTCTTTGTGCATGAATATTATACCATCTTAAACAAAGAACCATGGCGTCTACACTGCTTTTACGGGCGCAATTCTATCCTCATCCGAGGTAATGAAGGTCAAAAAGTCATGTCGAGTGTGGGCGAGCAGGTTAGTAATGCCTTTATTGTTCTTGATCAACAATATAAACGCTATTATATTTTTATTGCTTTAGCGTATACACTGCGATTTCGTATATATACACGAAATCACAAGTGAAAAAAAAATTTATTCATTTTGCACTTTATAAATTTTAAATATTCGGTCTACTTTAAGAATCTACCTATATTTTTTTTTTTCAAGAGCGCATGTTCTTCTATAAGCTATTTAACTTTAGCAAAACTTATTTTTGTTGAGTATAGTGTAGCTTGACTCAGTAATTTATGATAAAATAGATTTCAAAGTTATTTGAGTGACGGCGTAATTTTATAGCCTGTCAAAAAAAAAAAAAAAAAATTATAAATAATCAAATAAATAATCAAATCTAATTCATTTAATTCATCATATCTATCATATTTATTGAATCAATAGGAAATACGAGAGAAAATCAAGCAACTTAACTTAGACAATTGCCGCGTTCTTGTCACTAACGTGGACAGTCAGTCATCTCTTAATGGCGGAATAGTTGTTCAAGTTCTTGGTGAAATGAGTAATGGGAACGAAGAAACTTCTAGAAAGTTTGCTCAAACTTTCTTCTTGGCCGAGCAACCAAATGGCTATTACGTATTGAACGATATTTTTCGATTTCTGAATGAAGATGATGATGTAAATTCTGAATGTGATGAAGTCGATGAAGGTGCCATCGAAGAGTCTGTGGGAAATGAAGGGGGTGAGGAAGACAGGGGTTCTTCACCTACTGGCACTCTTGTTGAAGAACCTATTAATGTCCCCACTATAATCGAGGAAGAGAGTGTCGTTACACATACGCGTGAACCTAATGCGTCAGAGGTGACAACTAATGCTCCAAACATTAATGAAACAGAATCTGTCTCCGATGCATCTTTGTCATTAATGTCAGCATCCGTTTCTGAAGGGCAACAACCTAACTCATCTCTAGTAGCGTCTAATGATACTTTAAACGCTTCCTCTGATAAATCTCAAGGCACTCAAGTTGCAGTCGGTTCACCCTCGGTTCATGCGAACAAGATTCCGGTTACGAACGTGGCGGTTAATCCTCAACCGGTTTATCCCAAAGCATCGGTTCCTAATGTTCCGATCGTAATGCCTTTTGCAAATCAAGCATCATCAACTTATATTAATCAACAACCGGTTGCTACAATGGTTAATGGGCAATATCAAAATATTAAACAAACTACCAATGGTCAAATTGGCAATGCATCTCCTACTTATGCTCAACGTTCTAATACACCCAGACCACAAACAGTTGGAAGTGGCCCAGCATATACTCAAACATCAGGTTCTAGAACACAAGCAGCTGGAAATAGTCCAGCGTTTGCGCAACAATTACAAACTTCTAAAGTTGCGTCTCAAACAGTTCCACATACTGTAAATGGTTTACATACATCCGCTCCTCGATCAATTTCCCCGGTTTCTCAACGATCTGTTTCTCCAGTTGGAAATGATCATAAACCAGTCCAAAATATCGTCAATAGTGATCCTGGAGTTGTCAATCAATTGACTTCTCTTGAAAATGGTCAACCTGCTGTTGTTAAACCAGCAGTGAATATTTCGGATAATTCTGAAACTGCTTCTGTGAAACCGGCATCAAATGTCGTGAATGGTGAAAATCCTTTATCTAAATCAACATCTAACGTCACTAATGGTGAATCTGCTCCTGTGAAATCAGTAGTTAACGATGAAGCAATCACTCACACAAATGTTCAAAGTGGTTCTGACTCTAAGAAAATTGGTACTTCTACAGTTAACACTACTAACGTAAAAGATGAGTCGGCGACTAATGCCGCCCAGTCTTCCGGCACAAATCAACAAGTAACTCAACCTCCGCCAAAGCCACAAGGACCTCAAACTTGGGCAAGCACCCTCTTCAAAAGTAGTGGCAGCACGCAAACCGAATCTAAGCCTCAAAGTGTTGCTGCAACACTTCCTGTTCAAAAGATACAACAAAAGCCGGCACCTCAAAATTCATATCCGCAACAAGCTCGGGACAACAGAAATTTCCGCCAAGAAGGTCCAAGAGGAAACAATCGCCGCAACAGTGGTTTGTATTTTTTTTCGACTTTATTATTATTATTATTATTTTAACTCTTAGATTTTACATTAAATTTGACATTAAATTTGATATAATTACATATATCTATTCAGATACGAACTTTTCTATCTATGTTAAAGGGATCAATTCAAAAGTGCCCTACGAGCAATTGAAATCCTCACTCAGTACTTTTGGACAGATTAAACATCTTGATATGGTTTACAATAAAGTAAGTATTTATTTATTTAGTACTAAATTTATTGAAACGTGTTTATTGATCATTTTATAATTTTAATATATAGTCTTGTGCATTCGTCGTATTTGCTGATGAAGAATCGTACAAGGAATGTCTTAATCGTCACACTCTTACTGTTGCTAATCAAAATTTAATCTTCGAAGAGCGCCGCCCATCTCGCAATAATGTTAATCGTGGTGGCAATAATAAACCGCCTCGTGGAAGAGGCTATTAAATTGTAAAAATAGTCGAATGAAAGCGAAATGTGCTGGCAGCATGGACTTTAATCGATTCTTGTAAAAATTAAAAAAATTTTCTCCTTTTTTTTTTCTCTTTTTTTCTTTTCTTTTTTTTTTTTTTTTTTTTTTGCACCATTTTTCTGGGTTAACACGGTAAAATAATTTTAACTATAGGATAATAACATAACTTTCGTGGTGAGATAATTTCATGAATTTAGAGATTAGGCGCATAGATCACTATCCTAAACAATACATATTTCTTTTATAGGTAGAATTATTTTAACGGTAAAAAAGATTTCTAGGATACTAGACTATATTACTGTTTGATGTGTAGTAATCGATATAAATTTGCATTCTTTTTTTTTTTTTTCTTTTTTTTTTTTTTTTTTTTACGTTTTATACAAAGAAAAAAAATCACCAAAAGTATTATATATAATTTTTTTAATCATTAGTATATCAAGAACATAATTCACCATCATTTTTATATTATATAGTATTAGTGAAAAATTGCACATCTATATAACACTACACATCAAAAATTCTATCATTTGTAATAAAATTTAACATTTGTAAATACGTACGTAAAAAAAAAAATAATTACTGAATTTTGTAATACAGAAACATACCATTTTATTAAGATGCCATTCTTGGTAATATTGTAACTTGCGTCATCCTATTAGCGTAAATGTCAAATAACAATAGAAGCACAAAACTTTAGTATCATAGACACGTGATAAAAGCCAAATATAAGTTGAATTCAAATAACAGATAACAGATAAAGCTTCGACTGTTGACCAAAAATCACGATTTAAATGGAACATCCAATCAAACCTCAGGATCTGATGTAACATAAAAATTTTAACTTTCAATCTTTTACTGTACTTATATGGCGACGCCACTAACGCTAAGTTATTCTACGTAAAGCAAAATTATGAATGAAATGTGTACGTATATGCTTACTAATGGACATACAATACTGCAATAAACAATATTGATACGTATAAAAATACATGCCCTAACCCCAACTGTATAACTGCACCTGGGCTTTGGGCGTTCCCCAAAAGAGTAATTCACTCTGAGTTCAACCCAAATTAATAACTCTCTTTTCCTAATTTTGCTTTATTGTGATTTTTTGTGGCTAAATTTCATCTTGATGCTTAATTAAGATGATTTATTTACCGAAGTTTATCATATAAATGAAAGAATGATACCGGACATACCAAGAAACGAAGATCCGGTTAGTGATCTTTCAACAAACAATAATATAAACTTGATGGCTAATAACTTGCAAGCTACAGTAGAATATCCTGAAGATAATGGCGACGATTATAATGAAACAAGTACACTACTAACGTCTGAAGAAAGTAGTTTAACTGCTGGAGGCGATGACCAAATAGTTATAACGAGAGAGCTGAATAATAAAAAAAAGGAAAGATCGAACCTATGCACTCTAACAAACTTTATTAGATTAGTTTTGTTAATGTTGTTTATCACGCTTGTCGTTGTTCTTTTGGCTGTAAGTGTAGAATCGCCTTTTTTTTTTCTTTTTTATAATAAATTTGGTTAATGTAGTAAGACTGTTTATTGATCCTTTATATTACATATTTGTCAAATAATAATATTAGGTTTTCAAAGTCCAAAATCACATCAAGGACTACCTTCATTACATTGAAATACATAAAAATTATGGAATTGCTATATATTTATCTATCTATGTTATCTGTGTATGGGTGTTTTTACCAGGGTAACTATTTCACGTGACACATTATTTTTATTCTGGTAATCAATTCAATATTATCCGAATTTCAAATTAATTTATTATACAATAAATAATTACAATGTTTTAGATCAATAATAAGTATAGCGGCAGGGTTCCTATTCAAGCCTCCAATACTAGCAGGACTAGTCATTCTAATGGGTGATACTTTGGCAGCAGCGGGTACCTTTTTTTTTTTGGAAGATATGTCTTTTCAGATTGGGTTAGGGGACAAATTGAAAAGAGGCCATCATTTTCCGAATTTAATAATGTTATTAATAATGTTATTGCCGAAGAAGGTATATACTGCATATACACATTCCTTGAAACTTAATCGAATAATAAACGTTTATATTGCTTTAAATTATTATAGGATGGAAAATTGTTCTCATGCTACGATTGTCTCCACTTCCATTTAATTTGGTTAGTTATATTTTCTCAGTTAGTACAGTTGATGTAAGTGGCATTTGATAAAACTCATGTTTGTATTTTTTCCAAGTTCCAAAAAAGGGTTTATTAATGCGCAATACTAACGATATTTTATTTTCTGAATGATAGTTTCTAACTTTTTTGTGGGCAACCATCCTTGGAGTTATACCTGGTGCGTTCAATGCGGTATGGATAGGATCACTAGTCCAGAGTCTTAGTAAGCTTGACGAATATAAACTGAAAGATGAAGGTATGATATTACGATTTTGTAATTATATTCTGCCTTCTTATCAATCCAATCATTTTAAGTTGTTAATATATTCTAGATATTGTGATCATCAGCATGAATTTTATCTTTGTTGTATGTTGTGTGGTTGCATTATCAATATTCGGAAAACGATCCCTACGAAAAGCTATTCTGAAACTTCAGGCATCAAAAGAATCTACTAATCCTCCTTTACCTCCAATACCGCTTCGTAAGTATTCATCAAAATTATTTTTGTCTTCAAAATTTTATACAAATTACTTTATATATACACTTTGTGTTAATCTTTCTTATAGCAACGACTGATGTGGACGTGGAAGAAGTACAACCTTTAAATTCTAGTAGTGGTCAATTCACACGAGTAGAACGAATTATTCTCTATATTATTGGTGTGATAACTCTTCTTAACATCGTGGTCAATGTATCATTATACTATTATTTCAAGTCGCGTAAAGACACGGGTCCTGAGTAAGTTTAAATTCTAGAATTTTTGTTGATATTGTATTTAACTTTTCCGTATTGTAATTCATTGTATTTTTCTGTATTGTATCTCGTAAATATTTATTTTTTGCTGAAATAAAGTTATTCACCCAGTTGGGCACACACTATTATGGTAATGGCATAGAAGTAGAGATGGGTAATTGCACGCATGGTATGCAAAACATGCAATTAATTCTGGTCAGCATTAAGAAATCAATCATAATTTTGCCCATCTCTATATAGAAGTGTGCCTATATAATTACTTTTATATATAATCACATTATATAAAATAAGTGATTATTTTATATAGAGTGGTAAAATAAAATTATTTTTATAGGTACGAAACAGCAAAAGACATCTTTGTAAAAAATTTCAAATTGATGTTGTTTTATTTATTTATTTTTTAAAAAACTAAAAAATGTAATCTTATTTAATTATATATATATGGTAATATTATTTGATATGTGCATTGCAACTTTTATGTATAAGCTATATTGTATTACTATTCTTAAATAAGATTTTAATGCTAAGTACTTTATTTGGAATTTAATACAGTACATTATAAAAACTTCATCATAAGGCATACAAAAAATAACCGAGTGGATTTTATATCTGTATGTACTGATATATATATGGCTAATTCTGATCGACGATCCTGGTAAACAAAATTTAGTTTTAGCTTAATGAAAAGAATTTATTATTCGAAGTTGATACAGATAATACTGCAATAATGCGAGTGATTTTTCATTGGATAATATCGATTGATACAGTCACGTTAATCACCAATAAAAATTGATCAGATGTAACGTGATAATCAAACCAATTTAAATTTGGTGTGTTTACTGAATTTTTTCATTTAAACGCCTAGTTCGCTTCTTCTTCACTTCGATGCTATACTTCATGGCTAGGGATCTGCCAGGCAAATTAGGCATCAGGCCGGCACTAGTACCTTGAGCCGTGCCTGTGTTCCGAGGCACAAAATTGTCAGACACATTATGGGTACGGGCAGGCACTGTAAGGGCACAGGCACAAATGTTGCAGGCACTAAGTGACGACTTATGCCTGGCACTTCACATCTTTACTTGTGAAAGTTCTTGGTCACATTTTTGTATCTATGCCCATGCCCATGCCAACCCATGCCAAACTTTTGTGCCTGTGTCCATGCCCGTGCCAAATTTTTGTGTCCGTACCTATGCCCGTGCCTAAGATTTTGTGCCTGCGCTTTGCCTATGCTTTTTGTTAGGCATGGGCATGAGCCGACCTGCAGATCCCTATTCATGACGTTCGGCTTTTTCGCATCTTATTTATTTCAAGTAGGGTGTCTGGCACACCAAAAAAAATTGGCATGCCATAAAATGTTATATATTATTTATAATATGGGTTGAATATTATAAGTATAGTTTTTATGCTATACCCAGTGGCATGTCAAATTTGTTTTTGGCATGCCTTTGCCACTATGCCAGACACCCTAGTTTTAAGGTTTACTGATTTTCGATAAAGAATAGGCCATGTTTCTTCCTCGACTTAAGTAGTCAAAAAAACCTGAGTGTAGAGATCTTTGTTAGCGACTAAGTAAAAGCCTTGTTGAACAACCTGCTTCTGTACAGGAGGTGCAGAAGAGAACATGGTTGGGATTATAGTATGGGGACTCTGCATTATATTAAGAAAGATACATGGGATGGAGTTAATAGAAATCAAGCAAATTTTTTATAATAAAATTTTTTTTATAACTTTAAACAAGAATAACTTAACAAAAACTTGACCAAATTTAATAAATTTTTTTTAAATAAAGTTGTAAAATCAATTTAAAAAAAAATTTTATTAAATTTGATTAAGTTTTTATTAAATTATTCTTGTTTAAAGTTTTAAAAAAACTTATTAAAAAATATTTACTTGATTTCTATTGACTCAACCCCACATGTAAAACAGTTGGGTCTATCAGTTATATAAGGCCCGAGGAGTCTATAATATCCTCAAAGTCTTAAACACCAATGTTAACACTTTAAATAAATTATTAGTTGAGGATTATTCATTGCTTCTATCAGAAGCCCATAAAAATCGAGAAGAAAAGATATTGAGTCTTTGTTTGACAGGCAGCCTTGATTAAATCAGCACTAAGCCCATCTGTGTTGTACCTTCCTAACCAAAGAGATATACCTCTATGTGGTGGTTGGAATAAGTAGAAGAAATAATCTCTGAAACTAATTATCTTAAACTTTACTGTTTGTATATTTTATAGTATGATATATAGAAAATAAAAAAGGTTATATTAAAAAATTTTTTTTTGCAAAAATACATTCCTGATAGGGTAGAAAGAGAAATCGGTTTATATACTGTTTCTGATAGGTTTTATACAACTGTAGTGAAGTGTATGAAAAAATTAGAATCGGGTTCGTCTTTAGAACTCTAACAAGAACAGTAGTCAAATAATTTTTTTAAATCAAGGTTAGTACTGCCAATTTATCAGAAATAGTATTTTTACATTAATTATTTTTGATTTATCTGATGGTAAAATAGATGAAAAATCTGAAAATAATAGTTATTTTTAGTATTTAAGATTATTGAATATATTGAGCTATATTAATAAAGTTACTGTTTAGCACTGTATATAGTACCTGGTGTGACACAGTTTTTTACATTATGAAAAATTAAAATCACATATATAACTTAATTGTTTACATCATATAGTATATATTGTTACAGAGTAAAGCCTTCTTAATTTACTCTATAACAACGACACGGCACAGGGAATCCTTTCGTAGGTATATGCGGTGTCCAAGAGGTAAGTATAGCTTCTTTTCTCTTTAAGA